GTGCACTGTTTTCTCAAGCTATGGTCACTTCTATTGAAATAGACTGTTTGCACTACTTTTTATTTTGTACTTTTGTGTTTTATTATATTTGTTGCTTTGTTGGAGGAACTCAGGTCAGAAGAATGTCATTGCCATTTCTACACTGTAGCTTTGTGCATGACAATAAAACCTTTGAATCTTTTGAACACTATAGGTTCATACTTTACTCATAACTTCTTAACATAATGAAATTCAATATGTGGATATGAAGGTTGTATGATTCTATACAAAGAAAAGCATTGAGCATTGAGTCAGATTTAATGAGCACACTGAGACGAGATGCACACACAAACATCACAACGTCAGGCTCCTCACACTTTATATGGACGTGAATAAAAGCTCTCACCTCCACCACTTCCACTCCATGGCCCCTGCAGGAAAGACAGTGAAGTGTTTCTATTTAAATGGAGGCGTTAACATAGGATCCTCTGATGCAAGGCATGGCTGACAATGAGTGAGGTAAAGTTTCTAACACATACACATACAATTAAATCAATTCATGTAATTCACTTTACATAAAATATCAAAAGTGACACATTCAGTGCTAGACAGTGTATTCAGGGTGAATAGAGAAGTGTTTTTATTGAAGTTAAAATAAAGAACTAAAAGTACTTTCCACAAGGATCTATTAAAAAAAATATATGGTATTATTTTATAATAATTATTAAAGCATTCATGTTTGTGTGTGTGTATACAGCCTAGCGTTTTAATTTCAACAAGGTATCAATAAAGTTTATCTTCACCTGTTGTAAAACATGATTAATTATAAGTGGATTTATACTTTGCATGTGTAAAAATGTGTATATTATAACATTAGAATTAATAAAGATGGTAATGATGAAAACTACATTTTAAAATGTAATAACGAAAAAGAAAATAAGTATAAATATGAAGATTAAATCTACAATAAATATGTTAAAATATAGTAGGCCTATATTATAACAATTAAAGTTGTGCATTAATACAGATATTAACGATGAAAACCAGATTATACAGTGTAATACAGCAACATAAAAACAACATAAAAAATGTGTAATAAGTAAAAATGTGCAATAAGAAGATAAAAATAGGATCCCAATATCCAATACCCAATATAGCATGATAGGTCCACTTTAAGTCAAGATGTGCACATTGAACTGGAACATAACTATTAATGTAAACATGTGTTTATTTTAACACTAAAGATGTTAATGATTAAGACGAAATAAGAAGTTAAAGTAAAAATGTGAAATAAGAAAATAAAATAAATACATATATCAAAGTCAGAATTTAAAGTAAAAAGGTGCATGAGAAAAAACACTAAAATAGAGTAGGCCTACAGATATTTATACAACATAGGAGTAATAATATTAAAGATACTCATAATTAAAAAAAGAAATGTACAATATAATGCAAAAAAAAGGGGGCCCACTTCAACGTAAAAGAAAGCCTTGTTTACATTCATTTAAAAAATACAAATGAACTTACGCACAGAAGTCTGCGAAAGCCTGCAGGTTGATCCTCCGGCGCTTCTTGTCGCTGAGGCAGAAACCGACCCTGCTGCTGCCCGACATCAGGCAGCGTGTGTGGTGGGCGAAGAGAGAGGAATGACCGCTCATAAACACTGAGAGAGAGAGGGGGGGGAGAGAGTCTTTACTTGGCTCCTTCTCCATCTCCATTTCCACCCAACCCTCCCCTCAATATGTCTCTTGAGAAGTCTCTAAAATCCTCTGTGTCTTTTAAGAAGCGCGTCTCGATTCATTTCTTTCTACATAAGTGTGAGAGAGAGAGAGGGCAAGTCTAACTGGTAAAGTCACTTGACTTCCTTATTGCTGCCATCCAATAATAATGAATGAGGCCAGTCATGCAGCTCCACCTCAGAGAACAAACTCCGCACAATGGTTGATTAATTGATGTTCTATAAAAGACCAGATTTTTTTTAAAAGACACTATATACATAAAGACTACATCCTGGTAGCTTGTGAATTGCAACAAGGGATTAATACAGTTGATCTTAACCTGTAATAACACCTGCTCATTTATTTGTGGATTGTATTATTATAATGTAATATTCAAAAGTTACCCAAAAAAACAATACACACTTTTTCGCGAAAGCTGAAGAATTTGGAGGAGGAAAAGAAAATACTCAGTCAGTAAAGTACAAGTACCTCAAACTTGACTTCCGTATCGCTGCCATCCAATAATAATGATGAGGCCAGTCATGCAGCTGCACCACAGGGCCGTATAAAAGAAAGAGAAAGTAAAAAGATCCCTGAAGTTCCTCCATTATTCTCCCGAAGCCGCCTCGTCATGCTGTTCCCTGCTAACTAACCGTCAAAAGGATCACATTTATCGGTTATTTAGGAGGGTTTTAAAGACATTTTAAGTGTTTAAAGTTCACCTGAGGTCACCTGGAGAGAAAACAGAAATGTCCCGAGGCTCAAACGCAGGATTTGACCGACACATCACCATCTTTTCCCCGGAGGGCCGCCTCTACCAAGTCGGTAAGAGAGACACTTTATTTGGGGTTTTAGTCCATGAATATACTCCCTAATGCAGTAGAGAAGTTACTTTACTTGTACCATCTCACTGTGAGTTTAAAGAAGCAGTACTACTAGGACATGCATGACCGTTAAGTCTAGCTAAACACGTTAGCATGTTGTGCAGTTAGCATCACATTTTGCACGTTGCAGGTGTTCTACTTGTTTGCATTTCCATGTGAAACCTGAAGATTTGTATTATTTTCTGTCATTTCAAAATAAAATTCAACTCTTATTATGATTCAACAGGTTACATTTCTATGTTGACCTTCCTATTGGTCATTTTTTGCAGTGTAGTAATGTAATTATGTTCAATTATGCTGTAGACTAGGCTATGTTAATATTGTGCAGGTTGTCTCTGTTAAACCCGAAGATTTTCATTATACTTTGTCATGATTTTAAAGTAAAATGTAACTCTTTATATGGTTTAACATGTTAGAGTAATGTATGTTGAAGTCATTTTAGAGTGGTGTGATGTAATTAAGTTGCAGTAGAATAGACTATTTACTAAAGCTATGTCAATTGTATGCTTTTATTCTAATATGTCACATGTTCATATTGTGCTTTTCACTCACATTGATAACAGCTTTAGTTACTATTAACTTTTCAGATTAAGATAATTAGACAACATCACTATAAAGTAGAAATTGATAATGCTTTTGTACTTTTATGCAGGATAGGAGCCTTTCTGCTGATTACTTTCCCTCAAGTTAAGACATTGAGTAGTCCCTCTTCTGATGTTAGTTTCCCAGAAATAGTTGCTTATAAATTAAATGTTTTATAAAGGAACAAACATGCAGGTCTCCACTGATAAACATGATTATTTTTGTATTTAACTCACTCTGTGTTTTTGCTGCAGAATATGCCTTCAAAGCAGTTACTCAGAGCGGGCTGACGTCTGTGGGGGTCCGAGGGACAGACACCGCTGTGGTGGTCACACAGAAGAAAATACCTGTGAGACACACACACACACACACACACACACACACACACACACACACACACACACACACACACACACACACACACACACACACACACACACAGTCTTGAATAATGATATTATGAGTTTGAGTGAAACAGAAAGCCTTGCAGGAGTCGGGACTCTGGCTTTTTGCTGATTTGAGACTCAAATATAGAAAGTGCATACAAATGCCAAGTCTCCCATTACGAAGCCAGAGTCTACTTTTATTTTGAAATTACAAATAAAGCTGTATTTTGTCCACGCTGTCATTATCGTTGTCCAATCATCATAATCAGTGTGAATGAGACTTAACTGAAATGTGGTCATGATGTGTTTTTTGTAATTGCAGCATGGATATTTTCACATGCACAGTGACACATTGAGGTGTGTCAGCAGCACATACTTGTATAAGTTACTATTTCTATTTTATTTGTATTTACTTGCACATCTCAAAACATTCTCCTGCACTATTTTATCTGATGTATTTATTCTATGTCCTATATATATTCATGTTGCTCTGTTGCAGGAGCCTGTGGCCTAAGATATCTACACTGTCGCTGCTGTGCATACTGTATCACAATAAAGCCTTGAATTGAAACTGATAATAAGTTCCCCCCCCC